TCAATTGTTTATTAATACCTATTATTAGTTCTTGAAGGAGAAAAATTGGCAGTACCCGATTCCTAGGTCCCATGCATCCTTTATTGCAATTCTGAAATATGCAATACGTCACTATGAACCACATTACCCATGCTATTCAATAGATCACAGAAACATACTCAGCTTCTCTAACTGGAACTCTATCCTCTTGAACCAGCTTCTCCCCACCCGTCTGTTGTAATAGGAGCGGCTGGGCTGTGTCCCCAGCACCCGGCCGCCCACATGGCTAGCTTATGCCCTGAAATAATTACACAGAAACTGTATTCTTTTAAACACCGCTTGGCCCATTATATCTAGGCTTTTCTCGGCTAACTCTCACACTTGGACTAGCCCATTTCTTATAATCTGTGTAGCCCACGAGCTGGCTTACCAGGAATGATCTTAACCTGCGTCTGCCTGGAGTGGGAGAATCATGGCGACTCCTCGACTCAGCTTCTTTCTCCCAGCATTCTGTTCTGTTTACTCCTCCCACCTATGTTCTAAGCTATGAGGGCCAAGCAGTTTCTTTATTGCTTAACCAATGAAATCAACAGATTGATATATGACACTCCCACATCACCCGTCTATCTGGCCTCCCCCGCAGCCTCTTCCAGTCTTGTCTGTACTTGTAAGAGTCTTAACATTTCTATGATTCCACATACAAACGATGTCGCAGAAGTCTGGTCTTTCCGTGTCCATCTAGTTCACTGAGAATAATATTCTCTAGAGTGACCCATGTAAGGCAACAGGCAGAATCTCCTTTCTTCTTTAAAAGGCAGAAGCATACTTCATTTTGAGTGTAGTGTGTTTTCCGCAACCAGCCATGGGTGGCATGAGGTTTCTTCTACCTTAGGGACTGAGGACGGTACCCCCACGAGCACAAAGACACAGTAGGTCTTCAAAGCTCACTGCATGCATGAAAAAACCATGGCAGGTTTCAGCTGTGAAAAATAGGAAGTTTCCTCCTGACTTTAAGAACATTTTTAAGATTCTCAGCGTTTGTATTTAAGACAGGATGGACTGGAAATCCTAGCCACCTTAATTAGATAAGAAAACAAATATAAAATGGAAAAGTGAAATTTTCTTTGTTTGCGTTACACATTAAAAAATTCTTAATTATATCAGAAACTTGCTAGAACTGATAAAATTGTAGAATAAAAAAAATCAATGTAGAAAAACCATTGTAATTGTTAAATGCTGTGTGTGTGTGTGTGTGTGTGTGTGTGTGTGACAATGTGTTGCCTAGCCCAGGCTGGCCTTGAGCCTTCTCTGTATCGGAGGCTAGTTTTACATAGTGTTAAACTCTTGTTCCTTTTGCCTCTGCCTCCCAAATGCTGGGATTACATGGACGTGCCACCATACCCAGCTAAGGATTTTGTTTTATGTACATATATTCACCTTCTGCCTCCTGAGTGTTGGGGTTAAAGACGAGCACCACTACCACCTGGCTGAATTGTTGTATATTGTAAGAGCTGAGTGAGCAATTCTTGAAAAATATCTAATACTAAACCAGGAAGTTAATGCTTAACAAAGCCATATTGATTCCAGTTCAGCAGAGGTGGGGGTAAAGACAGTTGTCCTTTTGGGTTTGACTTTTAATAGGCAGTCTTTCCCTGTCCCCTCTGGCATCCCTTCTTCCCGGGTACTTTACCTTCTTCCGGCACGGGCTCTTTGGAAGTATGTTGTTTAGTTTCCACGTGTGGCAGATTGTTGTGATTGCTTGATTCATGGCTCAGGAAAATACACTCTGCACCAGAGGTTGCCTCGCAACTGCTGGGTGATCCCACAGTTCAGACGGCCTCCTCAGACACCACCCCAGCAGGGAGGGGTGTAGGACTCCAGTGTTATTGAGTGTGCATGGAAATCCAGGTCCTCCTTGTGGTTGGTGTCCCTTGATGCTATAGGGGTGCAGGAGGGTGGTACTGTCTTGTTACAGCAGTGAGGATGGGAGCCCTTGCTTCTTACGTGGCTCTTTAGCGAAGTCAGAAAGATATGGAGGCATTGATATATATTGATATAAGCATGTATAGATACTTATAATATATATCAAGATTTCTATATATATTAGATATATAGATCTATATCTATATAGATCTTGATATGTATATATACATACTTATAATTCACCAGCCAACTGTGATATATGTATATATATATATATATATATTATACTTAGAATTCGCCATCCATCCGTGATTAAAAATATCTCAAGAAACTCAACACACAAGAACTGCGTGTGACCACAATAAAGACCACACATGACAAGGCCACAGCGAACATACTGAATAAGGAAAAAGTCGAAACCTTTTCTTCTTAGGGATGGAATGAGATAAAAAAGCCTTTCTGCTCAACACAGCTTTGAAAGTGCTAGCCTAAGCAACTATGTAAATATCTCTACACTAACTACTATGAGACATCGATGAGAGAATTGAAAAGAATACAAATAAATGGAAATAGCTAATTTTGTTACAACGTTCATACTTCTAACAGTGAGCTGCAAATTTTATATTTTGCCAACAAAACACTGACATGCTCTCAAAGGATACATTTGTAAAGTGTTCTCTGGGAATAACACTTGTCCTTGCTTTCCGTTCTCTTCAGCAGTCCCCCCACCCCCGCCACACACACACACACACACACACACACACACACACACACACACTAGGTACTAGTCTCTGTTTTATCTTTCCTGTATTACTGATGTTCTAGCCTTGTGAAGCAAGTTTTATTTCTTATTCTTATAAGCAATTTAGTAGCTTTAACCTGCCCAGTGTGTCTTTGTGGAGACTAATAACTTTTCAAGCGTCTTGGGAGTGGATCACTGTGAGTCAGTCTTTTCAGACACACTGTAGGTTCTATAAATATATAGATTTCCTCTTATTGTTTAAATTTTTCCTGGAGATAGTAATTTTATTTTGTTTTTTAAAAAATTCTTCTTTTATGTGTTACGTTCCAACTGCAGTTTTCCCTCCCTCTACCCCCCACCTCTCCTCTCTTCCAGATTCACCACCTCAAACCCACCCCTGCTCCTCAATCTCGTCTTCTCTCCTCTTCCCTCCCCTCCTCTCCTTTTCCCTCCTCTCTTCTCCTCTCCCCTCCTCCCCTCTCCTGCCTCTGCCTCCCGAGTGCTGGGATTAAAGGCGTGCGCCGCCACTGCCCGGCTGGTTGGTGGTTCTTATTTGATGTTCTGCTATCCTTAACTCCCCCCACAAAATATCTTTCTTTCTCCTTACTGTTACAAATTCAGGGGACCCCTCTCCTCCTCTGTCTTTTTTCCTGAGAAGCGGTCCTCCTCTGAGGAGGTCACACCCGGTCCTTCTCCTGCAGGGCTCGGCTCTTACCCAGTGCTGTACCATCCGCAGCCAGAACGTCTGTAGTGTTGACTTTCTCCTTGGTTTTGTATCTTCTATGGTCCCTATTCCTCCCTAGTGTTTTTCACCGTCACTTAAAGATTTTTCTTGTCTTGATGTCCGTTCCCGTAGGTTTGTGCTGAAATTTTTTACTTTCTTTCTTTCCTTAGAGGAAATCTGGAAATTGTGAGACCCTTCTCTAAGGTGTCCTATGTTTTATCTGTGTTTCTCATTTTTATAGAGTTACGTTTGAATAGAAGTTTGGGTGACTGCCCTACTGGATGTAGTGATCTTATAAATGTTTCAATATATCCTGCGGTGTGTTCAGTCCATTAACTAACTGAAGGACCATTGTTCATATGCATGTTTGCTTTTCTCCTCTTTTCTGATTTACTGGAAAATTCCATAGTTAATTATGTACACTTTATTTGTTTATCTAGTGATAAAAGTATTGAAGATAGAAATGAGTTTCTTGTTCGTAGTTATATCCAGTGCCTAGAGCACCAAATACTTACTAGACACTCAGTAAAATATCAGTGGGAATAATATTTTATCCAGTGATGTTCTACTTTTTCATCTAAAGTGTTAAATTAATTTATTTTCATTACAGATGCTAAGAAAAACTCTTCAAGGGTCTCAGAGTGAAGAAATGGTAGTAACAAGTGAAACACCAAATTTGGTACCGTTTGGAGATGTGGTATGTATGAGTCACCTTCAGCGAGCCCGTACAAATTATTTCTCATTTGATATGAAACACAGTTGATATTATTATCTGGTGATTGAAAAGTAAGTGAAGAAAATAGTCCTCGAGGATAAGCATGCTCATGAATTTTTATTTATATGAGTCATCAAACCACTAAATATTCACCAAAATTATGGAAAACATTCTAATTCACAGAAGTAATGTTTTCTATCATAAGGCTCCCCAATCACCTGACATAATGGTAAGACACTGGTTTGAGACCCACCTAAGATCCAGTAATGTCCAGCATCTGACACAATTGCAAGACACTAATTGGGGGGCCCGCCTAAGATCTGCTAATGCCCCATGTCTGTCTGAAAGAGGAGTCTGTGAACCAGTGTTTTTGTTGAGCTCAAGTGATTATACTTATTTACAGATTGGCCGATGGTTTAAAAATTGACCCTTTTATCCTCCCGTGACCCCTGTATGCTCCGTGCCCCTCGCCGACCTCAGAAGCAATAGTTTCCATGGGGGCCACACACCTTGCTCGGGTGGTGAGATGGCAAACGGGCAAAGGCACGAGCCACCTGGTAACGCTGAGGACCTGCGTTTGAACTCCAGGACCCTCACGGTGGGAGAAGGGGACCAGCTTCTGCAAGCCGTCCTCTGACGTCACACATACCATTGTGCACGTGTCTACACACACACACACACACACACACACACACACACACACACACACAGGTGGGGTGGGGAAAGGAGAAAATCAGGAGAGAGAGTGATGTAATAGGAAATTGTAAAGAAGAAGCAGTATTTTAAAAAAAGCTTTTTCTATTTGTGTGTGTGTGTGTGTGTGTGTGTCAAGTGTGTATGTGTGTGTGTGCCACCTGTGTGCCTGGTGCCCATAGAGGCCAAGAGAGGACATCAGATCCCTTGGAAATGGTGACCTGATGTGGGTGCTGGGAACTGATTTTGAGTCTTAATCACCGAGCCATCTTTCCAGCCCCACGAAACCACGCTTATAGTAAGAACAAACAACAGAGTCCTTCTAATGTGAGAAACCCAACCCGACTGTGTTTTTTTTTAAATATTTATTTATTTATTATATATACAATATTCTGTCTGTGTGTATGCCTTCAAGCTAGAAGAGGGTAACAGACCTCATTACAGATGGTTGTGAGCCACCATGTGGTTGCTGGGAATTGAACTCAGGACCTTTGGAAGAGCAGGCAATGATCTTACCCTCTGAGCCATTTCTCCAGCCCCCGACTGTGTTTTAAAGATTTAAAAACTTCACCATGAAACACAAGAAATTAACTTTTAAAAAACGTGTTTGCCTTTTGTGTTTTGTTCCGGTTGTTGCAGGTCGGCTGCCTGGCTGTTCACATAAAGAGTTGTCGACAGTTTTCTCACAGATGTATCCTTTTGGTCTGCAGACCACGGTCAGCATGCCTTGCTGCTCTGGTGTCTTATTGCAGTCACTAACTACCTGGAAACAGAGCAGCTTGAAACACTAACCATTTGGTTGTCAAACGCTCTGTTCGCCCTCCAGGTGGTACTTCTTCAAAGTGTTCGCTTTGGCTGCTGTTTGGAAGTTGAAAAGGACAAGGATGCCCTGCCCTTCAGGGTGGACTTGGCCCGGTGGGATGGTTTAGAATGCTTGTTCTGAGCTGGGCGGTGGTGGCGCACGCCTTCAATCCCAGCACTCCGGAGGCAGAGGCAGGCAGATCTCTGTGAGTTCAAGGCCAGCCTGGTCTACAAGAGCTAGTTCCAGGACAGGCCCCAAAGCTATAGAGAAACTTGGTCTCAAAAAAAAAAAATGCTCGTTCTGTTCATGGGTCTCTCTTCCTCCTTAACTCCTTTTGAGTTTACAGAATATTACACATTTATAACAAACCCTTGATTACCATAGTTCTTCATGCTCCCTCATATCTCACTCTCGGATGGAAGTCTCTGTCATCCATCCTAATGCCAATTTCAGTTGCATTCATTGCTCTTATGTTAATATGGTCATGAATGCCTGTTCAGATTCAAGGACAGCAAAAATAAATCCCATTTCTCAGTGTAGAAGTTTAGCACAAAAATTTTTGGCCCTCTGTGATTTCCTTCAATCACCACGTAAGCTAAAGGAGAACCATGGTATGCCCTTAAGAGATAATGCGAATTTACATGTAAGCAGTAAGTCTACTCAAACGTCTTAAAAAGAGTTTACTTTAAATTTGTGCCTTGTTTTGGTTCTTTGGGAGTGTGTCTTTCTTCGTAGCCCAGGCTGGCCTTGAACTCTCAACCCTGTTGGAATTAGAGGTGTGGACAACCGTATTCCTCTACACTTATTTTTAAACCACTCTTGTTATGGCATTGCTTTTCCTTTTTTTTTTTTTTTGTATAAAGGGAGTTTTTTTAAAAAAAATTTTCTATAGAGATGTTTGAAGAAACTCAAATCTGGAAAGCATTTTTTTTTTTTAACTCATAAAGTACAGTGAAAGCAATATAGTACCGTCAGGATGGAGACTCATTCGCTAACGAAGAGAATTAGAGTAGACCATAGTACCGTCAGGATGGAGACTCATTCGCTAACGAAGAGAATTAGAGTAGACCATAGTACCGTCAGGATGGAGACTCATTCGCTAACGAAGAGAATTAGAGTAGACCATAGTACCGTCAGGATGGAGACTCATTCGCTAACGAAGAGAATTAGAGTAGACCATAGTACCGTCAGGATGGAGACTCATTCGCTAACGAAGAGAATTAGAGTAGACCATAGTACCATCAGGATGGAGACTCATTCACTAACGAAGAGAATTAGAGTAGACCATAGTACCGTCAGGATGGAGACTCATTCGCTAACGAAGGGAATTAGAGTAGACCATAGTACCGTCAGGATGGAGACTCATTCGCTAACGAAGAGAATTAGAGTAGACCATAGTACCGTCAGGATGGAGACTCATTCACTAACGAAGAGAATTAGAGTAGACCTTAGTACCGTCAGGATGGAGACTCATTCGCTAACGAAGAGAATTAGAGTAGACCACTTTGCTGCGAATTCTATCTTAAGATTCAGTTATTCTTAGTTTATTTTCTTATTTGCCCCCGACACCTTGACTGGCTCTTGGGAGCCTGTTTCTCATGCTGGAGGGCCTCGCCCAGCCTTAATACAAGGGGAGGCGCTTCATTTTGCTGCAACTTGCTACGCCTTGCTTGCTTGATACCCAAGGGAGGTCTCCTCCTTTCTGAACGGGAGGAGGAGCGGATTGGGGGAAAGGAGATGTGAGGAGAGGAGGGAGGGGGGGATCTTTGGTCAGGATGTAAAGACACTAATTGATTTTAAAAACTTCTATATGGGGGCTGGAGAGATGGCTCAGAGGTTAAGAGCACTGGCTGCTCTTCCAAAGGTCCTGAGTTCAATTCCCAGCAACCACATGGTGGCTCACAACCATCTGTAATGAGGTCTGGTGCCCTCTTCTGGCCTGCAGGCATACACACAGACAGAATATTGTATACATAATAAATAAATAAATATTTTTTTTAAAAAAACTTCTATATATCCTTAAATCTGGAAAATAATGCCAGTTGTAGATTATATATGCTTAGCCATCTTAAAATTAATATATAGAAAAATTGCAAAGCAATTACTGCGAGAATGCAAGGATAAAAATAAGGAGAGGTGTGTAGAGATGCATAAACACTCCTGATGACAGTGTGCCTAGCAACGAGAGTCAAAGGCGTAATTATGAAAGCTTTTCCCATTGTTCATTATCCTCCGAGATTGTCTTCTCTCTGTACTTGCTTGAGTTTGACATTTTGGCCCGGATTGTCTAATAGATTTTACAGTGCGTTGTTTGATCAACCGCTCCCGGACTTGTTTCCTAAATATTTTATTCTCAGTCATTGTACAACAACACGTTAATCTGTTCATTCGTATCTGTATAAATCACGTCACGAAATGCACGAAACTCCGGAACTTGAAAGCCACCACCAACGAAAAGAATTTTGTACTCAGGTTTGACGAAGTGAAGTATTTTTCTGTACAGGTAATGGGAAAACTCTCTTCTTGGTAGAATGATGTGTCGCTATAGGTCTCAAGCGTTCTAAAGTACTTGCATCTTTGGGGAGGAAAAAAAAAAAAGGCAGACAAGAAGTAAGAGTAGTGGCCGGGCGGTGGTGGCGCACGCCTTTAATCCCAGCACTCGGGAGGCAGAGGCAGGCGGATCTCTGTGAGTTTGAGGCCAGCCTGGTCTGCAAGAGCTAGTTCCAGGACAGGCACCAAAAACTACAGAGAAACCCTGTCTCGAAAATCAAAACAAAACCCTAAGAGTTGTGCTTTTTCATTCTGGGTTCTGCAGCATCGTGCCCCCCCTGCAGTTGCCTGTGGAAACACCTGCCCCCCGCCCGGCCCAGTGCACTTCTTCCCCGGTGTGCTGCTGCGTGAGGCTCTAGAATGTTCATAGAAGGCTTCACCGCTTTGCCCCTCCTCTCTCCTGTGCAACGCTCCTCCACCCTTCCTGTTTTCACTCTCTGATTCCTTTCTCTTCTCTCATATCTTCGCCTCATCTAGATGCCCCTACTGTTGTCACATAATAGACTGCAGTCTTTGTAACAACCCCAAATATCTCCCTCCCCTCCCTCCCTCCCCTCCCTCCCTCCCTCCCTCCCCTCCTTCCCTCCCTCACCTCCCTCCCCTCCCTCCCCTCCCTCCCTCCCCTCCCTCCCCTCCCTCCCTCCCCTCCCTCCCTCCCTCCCCTCCCTCCCTCCCTCCCTCCCTCCCGCTTCTTCTGTCTTTCACACACAGAGACAGACAGACAGACAGACACACACACACACACACACAAACAAATTCTATTCTATAGCTACAGGATTCATTAATTAGCCCAATTGTTTCTTTAAAAAACTATTACGTTGAGTTTTACGGAAATTCTAAAGGATTTCATCTCTGCTCCAAATGTCTTGGTAAACTTTATTTTAATTAAGTGTCGCCTAGGAAAGATAATTTTTAGCCCTCAATTCTTAAACAGTAATGTGGGGACCAGAGAGTAAAGGCACTTGCACCAAGCCTAAAGGCTGGAATTTGATTCCTGGGTGTCCCGTGGTTAAAAGAGAGAGTGGCTCATACAAGCTGTCCTGTAACCTCTGCATGTGTACTGGGGCACATGTGCTCCTCCTGGCCTAAATTCATACACACGTATGTACGTACATACATACATGAGCAAATGAATGCAAAAAGAACAACAAACTAGACAGAGTTTTGAATTAATTTATTTTATTAGACTATCAATTGCATAAAGGGCTGGCTTTCCCTGACATTTTCATACACGTGAAGAACATGCGTGGATCATAATAACCTCTCCATTATCCTCATCCATCTTCCCGTCCCTTCCCCTTTCCTCGTTCTAAATCACTAATAACTCCCCTCTTACTTTTGTGTCCCCTTTCTTTCCCCCTAAATTCCCGTTATGAGAGAGCACTGGTCTTTGTAAACCTGGCATTCTGTGATCAAAACAGTGATCTCCGGTCCCATATTTTTTTTTTTTCCTGGAAACAACACAGTTTCATTCTTGTGTGACTGAATAAAGCTTCAGTTCTGACAACCTTTCAAGCCCGTTCCTGGGCTCCTAGCCTGATGCGCCACAATCAGCACAGGTGTGGAGGCTAACTGCGATGTGCTGACTTGGGTTTTTTGATATCAGCACTGGTGTAACTGGACCAGGTGGTAGCAAACATGTTGGCAGGTTTCTGCATTCCCGCCAGTAGGGTCCTAGCCCGAATCCCCCCGAGTCTGGGCTTTTCTGCAGGAGAGCTTTTCTAAGTGGCGTGAGATTGAATCCATGTTGTTTTGGTTTGCAGTCCCGGAGGGCTAAAAATGTTGAGCATTTCTTCTGCACACAGGTATTCATTTTTCTCCAGCACTGTTTGGCGAACTGTCTTTTCTCCAATGTATATTTTTTGTGGAAAATCAAGTAGCTGTGTGGCCTTCTGTCTGGGCCCTATATTTGATTCCACTGATTGAGGCCTATTTTGTTCTAGGGCCATGCTGTCTTTGTGACTATGGCTCTGTTAGGATAATTTGAAATCGAGCGTTATGATAGCTCTAGCGTTGTTGCTTCTGCTTAATATACCTGAATCACACTTCATCTTTATACGTGACTTCAGTAGAGTGTTGAGGGCACCTTTTTAATGTATAGTTAAAAGGACAATTTGGGCAGTAGATGATTCAAAAGATCATAATTAATGTTAGACATAAACAAGTCCTGATTTTGTTGACCTTAGAATATGTAGAATGATAAACTTAGAAAGTCACAAGACTAACATGCATAAAACTGATAATTAGCGATGCCCATGGTACCATAATATATATTAATATATATTAATATGCCTTACGAAGGTATTTATTTGGAAGTTACATCTGAAATCCTGGCCTGAAATTTAATACTTCCTTTCATACATTTTGGCATTGAGGTTCCCAGACGTCAAGATGATGAGAGGAATAATATTTTTTTGGAGCTAATGCAAGATGGAGGAAGTACAGAGAGACCCGCCCTTTCCTTGGGCAGTGTTGAAGCACATCTTTACGAAATAATACAGGTATGTATAAAAATATACATTTTCCCCCCAGCTACATGGGGACCCATACCTGTAATCCCAGTACTTGCGGGGGGTGGGGGTGGGAGGTACAGACAAGACAGTTATGAGTTCAAAGTCATCCTTGGCCTCACAGTGACTTCAAGGCCAACCTGGGCTATGTGAGACATAGTCTCAAAAAAGACCAAAACAAATAAAAAAACAAAAAGTAAAAAAGTACCTTTTTTAAAAAAATCTTGGTGCCATACAGTCTAGTTGGTGTTCTTCATTGTGGCTCTTGGTATCTGATGGATACCTTCTGTTTACCACATGCATAGGAACCAAAGTTCATTATAAACATACAAAAAAATTTAGGGCTGTCAGAAAGCATGGGGTTTAAAATAAGAAAACTTAGAATTCCCACACAAGAATCACATAATTTGGGGCAACTGAGGAGAACGTGGGGGAGTCTGCATCACTTTCTGACCTTGACTGGTGTGTAGGCTTTGGGGAAGTGCCTCTGTTTTTGTGGAGCCTGTCCTGGAACTCGCTCTCACAGACCAGGCTGACTTTGAACTCACAGAGATCCGCCTGACTCTGTCTCCCGAGTGCTGGGATTAAAGGCGTGCGCCACCACCGCCCAGCTGTGTGTACGGTTCTTAACTGTGAAACTGGAAGCAGTGATGATGCTCGGGAAGAAGAATAAAGCCCAGGCGGGCATTGAATTGGGCAAGGTAACCTATAGGAGAGTGGAGATAACCACAGATGATAACCACGGATCAGGGACGGCAAAGATTCCCAGAGCCTGTCCGTGCTCTCGGGTGTGAAGGTTCTTCCACCTCTCCAGAGTCTGTTGTGGAGATTCGCTTTTAGCCAGAATGGGGTTTGATGCCCAGGAAGGGAAGTTCACCAGCAGGAACATCTCTGCCCTTGTAACTGCTAATGTCTACATTTATTCCTGTCATTCAAACTGGGTTTCTCTTCAAGTGAACAGTCGTTATATTTGTATGTTAATTTAGTTAAGATGAGATTGTATTTGTATGAATATTGTATTTCAGCCGACGAGCTCATGTATATTTAAAAATGGCGACCGGATTTCTATGCTACTATGCTGTAGATAAACTACAGACACGGGCGCGAATCATTCTACCTCTCTTTTTCCAGAAAGGCTGCTTCACCGAAGTCCTGCAAATGAAGCACAGAAACTCGGTAAGAGCCGCACCGGCCTTCCTCAGATTACCCATGTGTGGTATCTAGCAGTGCAGAGAATTTACTCTGATGGCTCACTGCCTAATTTTTAAGATTATTTCACTACATTAATCATAGCTATATGAATTGGTAAAAATATGTGTAATAGAGAAATTATCACATTTGCTCACAAATTCTTCATTTTTTTAATATAAAATTTTGGCATCATGTTTTTCAGACTCAACTTAGCTTTTTTATATTTTTTATAATTTTAAAAATTATAATATAAAGTCACTCCCCCTTTCCATTTTCTCCCTCCAACTCCTTCCACGCACACCTCCCCCCCTTGCTCTTTCTCAAATTCAGTCTCTTTTTCTTTAATTGTTACATCTATACATATATAAATATGTTTTAAGAATTTGATCCTATAAGTAAATTGTGAGAGAGAGGCTTAGAAACCACTGGACGAGACTGTAAAATGTCAGCGGCCGCTGTCCATGCGTGGACCAAGTCTCTGAAAAAGTGTTGGCAGTCTCTGATTTTGAATGCACCTAAATGTTAGTGATTTTATCAGATGATCAGCCGGAGCTGCTCCTGCTGTCCCCTGTCCAGAATGGGGTTGAGGGACATATATAAAGCCACAGAGCAGGGGCCTCTTTTTCCCTTCACACACGGCCAACCTGGGTTCAGAGGTGAGGTTGCATGTTTCAATCTTCATTCGATAGGAAAGACCTGTGAGTAAATCATTTGACCTATAAACATATATAAAATACATACCTTACTCGGGCGGTGGTGGCGCACGCCTTTAATCCCAACACTCGGGAGGCAGAGGCAGGCAGATCTCTGTGAGTTCGAGGCCAGCCTGGTCCACAAGAGCTAGTTCTAAGGACAGCCAGGGCTGTGACACAGAGAAACCCTGTCTTCAACTCCTCCCTCAACTAAAAACAAAATATGTACATATAAGTCAATATCTTATGGTAATCCTACTAATAATTCTAAATTAAAATTTTATACATTTGATCACTAGCCTTGTGTTAAGGCGAAAGACTTGTAACGTTCTTGGAACTGAACAGAACTCTGTTGGAGTTCTCTATGTACGTGAAGCTTTGGTTTTTTTTTTTTTTTTTTTTTTTTTTTACCCAGAAGCGTCACCGTAGGCTTTTCTAAAGTGTATGTTTATGACCTTGTCATGTCTGGTCACTTCTCTAACAACAGCGTTCCGCTTCCAGTCTATCTGCAGGGTGGAAGTGGAGTTCATGTTTTCCTACGGAACCTTTGGCTATGGATTTTCACATCAGGTTAGTTCCCTTTTCTAAAGAAATGTCTTCTGTTTGAGCACATCGATCACGCCTTATGAGAAGCCGATATTTCTGGAAGTTATGTTTGGCGGCCATAGCTAATGAGTATAACGTTAGAAGTAGGTCTTGTGTCCAGTATAACATGTGAGAGCATCCCTAGAGGGAGAGGTGATTTTCAGATCTGCAGTCCCAGCACTGGGGAGGTGGAAGCAGGAAGATCTCTGGGGCTTGCTGGTCAGCCACTGTAGCCAACTTGATGAGCTTCAGGCCAGCGAGAGGCCCAAGGTTATCCTCTGGACCACACACGCAGCACACACGCCTCCAGATACAACTGAGCACACACATGCACGACACACCCGTGCACACGGAGAGAAAGCAGTAGGTTATCTTTTCAGATGGAACTAGGCAAGTATTGCCATATGTGTAGGCCTCACTGAAAACGTAGAGCTGCCCCATTTTGCACATTTTGTAACCTTGAATGAATTACTGTTGTTTAGTGTGATCTATAGAATACTCACACTTACCTCCTACTTCTATCAGAAGGGTTAGAGAAAACTGAAGGTGTGAAATGCTTGGCAAATGTTTAATGTTCAACAAATTAAGTTCCTTTCTTCCTTCCTCTTCTTTGTACACACACCATTCAAGTATGGTATAAGCCTTTTGGGGGTTGGGCTGTTAGTCCTATCATGGTAAATGGTATAGGCCTTTCGGGGGCTGGGGCTGTTAGTCCTATCACGGCGAATTACACAATCATATAATTTTATCCAGCTAAAACCTCTTCAAAAAATCATCGAGCCATCGATGTTTATGAAGATCGCCCCTCCTCCAGAAAGGACAGACCCTGTCACGTAAGTGTTTTGATTTCGTTACTTCATTGAGAGCGAATGGCATTTCAAAGGTGCGATGGAACATATCAGTTATCTTGAGAATTCCCGAGAGCGGGGTCAGGACGCCTAGGTCCTAAGGCAAGGCGAGCACCGAACTCCTTTGCTTGATAAGGTGAGAAAAAGAGCCAGGTGTGGTGGCTCAAGCCTGGAGCCCCAACCCTCGGCAGGCAGAGGAAGGAGGATGAGGAGTCCAGGGGGTTACTTGAAACCTTGTGGGAAACAAGCAAACAGACAAAAAGATGGGAGAGATCCTGAGTTTCTAGGTGCCCCCTGGAGAAAGGAACTGAGGTCTAGAGATGAGAGGAAATGGAGGTCTCCTTCGTGAATGAAGAGGTGGCACAATGAGGAAATTAGCCATCAAGATCCTCCTCACGGAATATAGAGGAAGAACTTCCAAGATCCATGTGCCTAGGGTAGCCAGTTTCTGTTCTACAGGATGTCAGTGTTAGCCCACCCCACACCACGCCAACTGTTATTTCCAAATGGGCTGTAAAACAAACAACAAACAAACAAAAAAAACCAACAATAAAAACTGTGTTAAAAATGTTATTAGTGGGGCTGGGAAGATGCCCTGCAAGCTGCATTCAGGTCCCCAGCGTCCACGCATAAAGCCAGACATGGCTACAGGTGCCTGTAACCCCCAGCTTTGAGGGACAGAGACAGGGGTTTGCTGACGAGGCTAGCTTCAGGTTCAGCAAAAGGGACCAAGGCAGAGAGGGACACTCCGTACTCCCCCCCCCCACACACACACACAAAACATGTGTGAAGTTGTTAGCAAAGGAAATGTAGCTTAAAATATAGTATTCCAAATGACCTTAAAACTTCAACAGTAAAAATACACGTCAAGAAAAATACGCACCAGAGAAAGAGCTGTCTAAGAAAAAGGATTTGTTTTTAAAAATTGAAATGAATCAAGGAAATTAGATTTGGGATGTGGGACTCGCTCTGTAGACCATTCCAGGACAGCCAGGGCTACACAGAGAAACCCTACCTTAAAAAACAAAAACAGACAAACAAAACAAAAATCTCTTCACTCCTGGCTTTCTGGTATGTCAAGTGGATTCAGTAATTCTTATCCCGTGGGTTTGCCGTGCAGGTGGAACGAGACAACCAATACAGACAGGCATACGATTACAGTGCCCGACATAAAATCTAGTCCATAGAATTAGATGTTTGAAAGGATGGGGGACTCTGAAGGCAGATTTGTCTATAAATGGTGGCCAAAAGACCTGGACTTTTTATTTCTCCTTCCTCTGGGTCTCCTTCCCCATCTCTACTGCCCACGGTCTTGTTGAGTAACCAAGAGAGCAAGAGAGTCCCAGGATTCCAGTTCTTGCTTTCTTCCTTAGCTCTGTCTTCTTGACAACCCCGGGGTAGTGGGTGAGCCGGTACAAGAAGAACAGTTGGAAACAGCAGCTACCACACCGACTGTAGGGATGCACTCTTCTGTAGTGTTGGCGTGTAACTCTACTACCGTTTTTTTCAGAAACGTTATTACCCCGCAACGAGTCGAATACCCAGCCTTCTTATCCCCAGAACTTAACGTTTCCATCGGGGCTGCCGAAAGCAGCCATCCGAACGCCGTGCGACTCGAAAAACTCCAGGAGAAACCCCGGGAGAGGTAAACAGCACACATGCCATTTGTTTCCATGTAGTCTGCGTCATTCCGAACTTCTTACGTTGACCTCAGGCTTTTCACTGACCTAGGGATACTCATTGTGATGCTGTCTCATGTGTCCCTTGTAAGGTAGTTTATTATGATAGGGAAAGAGATGAAAACCCACCCATAAGAAAGCAAGCAAGTGGCTTCCTTCATGCAAGTCTTTTCCGCTGTCTCTCATGCGATTTTTCCTCATCCTTCTTCCCTGTCGGCTCCTTCTGTCTAAGATCCCACCCCACTGGCTCAATCTTTCTTTTTAATCTGCAGTTGAGCTAACACAAGCTTGAATGCTAGTTATTTTCTCCCTCGGGTATGGGATTTCCATTGATTTGTATAGTTCCTCCCTCTCTGCCCAAGTCCTCAGCCTTGACTTCTGATCCCTCGGTCTTGGTGCTAAGTCTCCCAGACCCCTGTAAATAAGCCACAAGATGGCTTTATCTGCAGACATTTATTGCTCCCAATTCTGGTGAAGAGATCGAGCATCTTGACACTGACTGAATGCATTTCATGACTTACAGTTTAATATTTGTTTGCCCTTTTCAGTCTTTAACCGTTAAATTAAGGTTTTTTTTTTTTTTGAGAAAAGATAATATGGTCCTTGAAACACACCATCGTGTATTTGGTACTTAGCGAACACACGGCGTACAGTAGACATTCAGTGAGTCTTGGCAAAACAGACAGTGTGTCAGATCAGAGGACAAAGGTGTGTCCTTGGGTCATGCAGTTCACCTTAATGGATATATGGAGGCGGAGAGCCAGTGTGTGCACATACTCACTCTCTACGTAAACTCTCATAGGTTACTTCAGACTATCTCATTGTACGACAACAGACAACAAAGTCTGGGAGAAATATGTTCTAAAATTTTGTTTGAAAGCAGTGAGTTATAGAAGAGGTCCAGAGGTGTCGAGTCCATTGTTTGGGGCCATCATTTTCAAGGGACTTGGTGACAGCCAAGATGATTAAAAAAAAACTGAGCAGAGCCAGGATGGACATGCAGTCATGAAGCAACAAGAGCCAGAGTTCAGTGTATACCAAAGACGATGAACCCCATAACACCCAGACTTCCACTTGGGCCACCAATGAGCCATGACGGACCGTGACTCCAAATGCCTTGCCCTAGCTGTCCACCACTGGCTCCTACCCTAGAGTTAGAAGGAAGAGAGAGCCTGAAAAACACTAATTTTTCTGGAAACGGAGGCCCCGCCTTGGATCACACTAATCTTAATGTCAGCTGTTTTGAAGTGAGAAGAATAATCAGTGTTCTTAGCCTCAGGCATCCTTGGCAAAGGCTCCGTCACTGAGCTGTCTCCTCAGTTAATATGTTAAAGGTTTAAGCTCTTATTTAACAATAGTTAAAGGTGGAGCTTTGGGGAAATAACTGGATTAGGTTAGATTAGGTTTGAGGATGAAGCCCTTGTAATGCAATCAATGGCCTTATAAAAGTTACAAGAAGAGAAGACCTGATATCCCTCCCTCCACTATGAGGAGAGAAGGTGATGGCCACCAGGAAGACTCTCACCGGGGTCTGGGCAAGCTGGTATCTCGGCATTAGACATCCTAGCCTGAGGATTATGAGCAATAGATGTCTGTTGTTTAATCCACCCACTGTATGGTATCCTGTTATCGCATCCCAGACTGACCAAAATAAGCAAATTAAAATACTGAGAATACATAATGCATTATCGAATAATTTCTGAAGTGTGTTTATAAAGCTTAGATAACGATAATAAATTGATTATTTGTATAAGAAATACATCATCATCACTAAGGTCAGAAATGTATTTTATGCACCTTTAAGAGGCTTCTCTTTCCTTAATCTCTTGCCATTACCGTGACCCTTAATTCTGTTGTAATCATTTCTTTTAACTGTTTCTCTAGAGAATATGTTAATTTGTCACTTTTGGAACATCTTATGAATGGGTCATATTTTGTTATTCTTCTGTAGGTTTTAATATATATATATAATATATGTATATATATATATATCCCTCTGTCATTTGTAGTTTTTCATATGTAGCTGATTTTTTTTTTAGGTTGGAAAAAATGAAAGAGGAATATAAAAATCTAAACACATGGATGGAAAAATCTGAGTATTTAAGAAATCTTATTACTCCAAAAGTGGCTTCCAGAGTTTCAGAGGTACTTGCCAAAACACAGTCTCTCATATGTAGTGTGTTATCCACTGTTTAATAGAAACACGCCTTGATGATTTAAAATGTTTGATCAGATAATTGCTCATTGCCATTAAGTAAAATGCTATTTGCAGTTCATGTTCCTCTCTGTATTAACAATGTGCCATTCAGTAAGTGTTTATTCAGAATTTATAAGGTTTAATTAATTGGCCAGTTTAAAGTATACATTTCAGTGGCCTTCAGCCTGCCCATCAAGTTGCACACCCATCACCGCAATCCATTTTAGGACATTTTCACTCTTTTTAAACAGAAGTAGCCCAACGCCACAAGTCAATACTTTCCCAGTTCTCCCATTGCCTTCCTGCCCTCGGCAGCAGCCAACCTATTTTCCTTCGTGTACATTTGCACAAGAGTGGGATTTTGTATAAATACGTGGACCTTTGTAGCTTGTTTTTCTCTCTCTCCGCGTAATGCTTTCCACGTGTTTTTTTTTTCTTTTTTCTTTTTTTGTTTTTTCGAGACAGGGTTTCTCTGTGGCTTTGGAGCCTGTCCTGGAACTAGCTCTGTAGACCAGGCTGGTCTCGAACTCACAGAGATCCACCTGCCTCTGCCTCCCGAGTGCTAGGATCCACGTGTTTTCTTGTTATAACATATATCAGCATCCCATTTGTTTCTAGATATATTTTATGTGTTCATCCCCTAGTGAACATTGAGGCTCTATACACGACTGAGCTCTGGTGAAAGGTGCTGCTGTGGACGCTCATGTACAAACGTTCGCTGTTTTCCTTGACATGGGGTTTCGCTATGCAGGCTGGACTTACTCTTGCTGAGTTGCCCAGACTAACCTCAAACTTGAAATTCTTCTGCCTTGGTCTCCCAAGGGCTGAGATCCTGGACGTGGACCCATATACTTGGCTTCCTTATATATGTTTTTGTGCAAACAAATGATTTTAATTTTGCTTCACGATTGCCCAGGAACAGAATCTGGATCAAACGGCAGTTCCCAGTTTAAGGTTTCGAAAAACTGTCAAGCTATTTTGACAAGACGCTTTGCTATCTTGCATTCCAATAGAAAAATGTGTGGTGGTTTTGAATCTTGACCGCTTGCTCGTTTCCCATGTGGTCATCACCTCTAGTCCTGATTCTCCTGACGTGATTGTGAATTCCAAGTGCTGACCTGCGGCATTTTTAATTTACATTTCTCTTTTTTTTTTAATTTACATTTCTCTAATGATGGACGGCGTGAACATTTTTTCCTACACCCACTGGCTTATTTGAAGTTGTTCAGTTAACGTTGGGGTTTGCGTCCCTTGCTCTCGGAGTTCTTCTCCCGGGAGCAGCAACTCCTCTCGAAGTCACGCTCCATGGATTCAGGTCCTCCAGCTCCGTCTCGGCCTGGCCTCTGTCAACTTAGAGGGAAAATGTGTCTTAAAATTGCCTTAACTTTATATTCTCATCTATGTGAGTTTTATGACAGAAACCAATAAAGTATTCTTTAAATAGAAATTATGAAAACAGGAAAAACATTTTAGTTCTTCAAGTATTTTGCCCAACATGTTTTATTTCTTTCTCTGTGTGTCTAGGAACCTAGTTTGAAAGAACTATCTGAAGTAAATTCTAGTCTGTTCGAAGATATGTATGGAAGTATATCATATGGTAAAAAAAAATCACGTTAATTTTTATTATTAAGATAATTAGAGCAAGGTGTTACATTGTAAAAGTTACACATTTGTTTTAAATTGATTTCGTTTTTGTCATAGATCAAGTAACATTTTATTGTTGTGCCAATTACTTTGGTATTTTTTAAGGAAGTCAAAGAGAAGTCTTAGACCCCCATTAAGAGTTTTCTAACTTTTAAAACCATTTTATGTGTATGGGTGTTTTGTCTACATATATGTCTGTGTACCAAGTGTTTTCCTGGCGTCCTCAAAGACCATCAGAGAATATCATTTCTCTTAGGACTAGAGTTACATGAGATTGTGAGCTGCCATCGTGTGCTGGGAACTGAATCTGGATCCCCTGCAAGAGCAGCCAATGTTGTCACTGCTGAGTCATTTCTCAAACACCAGGAGTTATAAAAAATTTTATTGGTACTTCACTTCTTTCAAGATAGGAAAAATTTAAATCTCAACTGTAATATTTATAAGATACTTTTGTTAAGCATTTTGAACTCTTGAGGTAGAAGAAACTGTAGAACCATTGAGGTAGGGTGTGTGTGTGTGTGTGTGTGTGTGTGAACAGATGTGTGTGTGTGTGAACAGAGAGGGCGAGAGATAAGACACAGAGACAAAGAGAAAGAGACAGTCAGAAAGGAAGAAGAATTGTGCTGGAGGAAATTCAGTTAGTATTTAATTTGAGAACTTAACCATAAATAGTAAGAGATCTAATTAGTGTTTACACAGTCTCCCAAACACCTCTCTCAATGTTATCTAGAAAGCAAGTTGACGTAAACTACTGTACTTTAAACACACGTTTATACATCTTCAACGTATGTAGTATAAAGTTCCTGTTGCAAGGGTTTGGCTGCAGCTTACTCGTCTTTCCACACGCTACGTACCGGTGTGTGTGTGTGTGTGTGTGTGTGTGTGTGTGTGTGTGTGCTCATATCTCTGTCACTGCACTAGTAGAGTACCGGTGTGTGTGTGTGTGTGTGTGTGTGTGTGTGTGTGCTCATATCTCTGTCACGGCACTAGTAGAGTACCGGTGTGTGTGTGTGTGTGTGTGTGTGTGTGTGTGTGTGTGCTCATATCTCTGTCACGGCACTAGTAGAGTACCGGTGTGTGTGTGTGTGTGTGTGTGTGTGTGTGTGTGTGTGCTCATATCTCTGTCACAGCACTAGTAGAGTAGAGTTGGGTTTCCAACCTACGCTACCTGTTCTGCAGGCTTCTTTTTAGTGCTCTTTCCACTGTTTGATTGCCAAGCTAAAACCCCAACCCAGGACCCTGCCTGCACGGGGCCAGCACTCTGCCCCTGATCTCCCTCCAGGGTTCCAACTCTGAAGCTTTAAGTGTAAGATAATCACAGACTTCCTCTTCTTTATCACAGATGGGAAAGCAGAAGGACTTCTCTCACTGTGAGGCTTGTCTGAATTCCATCTTTCACTTATCCAGAAGGTTTTTGTATTCCATTTTTCAGACATGCAATGGAGTGTCTAATGACTTGACTCTCTTTGGTATTTCTGAAGCCTCCAGTATTACAGCGCGCGCACACACACACACACTCCTACACAACTAAAAGTTTAAAAATGTATATTTTTAAAAGAAGACCCAAAATAAACCACTAAGAACTAGAACAGAAACCAACTTCAAATTTAGAGGAAATAAAGATCATAGTAGTTTTTTTTTTCAATGAACCTAAGTTTTTAAAAAGGTAAATAAAATCGACAAATTGGGCTAGACTAAGAAAAGAAGAGAATGTGGCTGTAGAGATGATTCAGAGGTTAAGAGTGTTTGCTGCTCTTGCAGAGGACCTGGGTTCAGTTCCCAGCACCCACATGGCAGCTCACAAGTGTCCGTAACTCCAGTTCCAGGTGATCCAGCACCCTCTTGTGACCTTCCCAGGCAACACTCCTGCACATAGCAGACAGACATGCCTGCAGGAAATACTCACACACGTAAAATAAAAATACATCTAAAGGGCTGGGCGGTGGTGGCTCATACCTTTAATCCCAGCACTGGGGAAGCAGAGGCAGGCGGATCTCTGTGAGTTCGAGGCCAACCTGGTCTACAAGAGCTAGCCCCAGGACAAAGCTCACTATTTAGACCGGGCTAGCTGGCCTTAAACTCAAACAGTCTTCCTCGAGATTTGTTAGCTTGTTTTCACTAAGGTAGTGTTCATGTTTGAATAGCTGCTTTAGTAACCCTTTACTTGAAGGGAGGAAAATTATATGTAAGTAAAACAATGTTAAATAAATGTTAAATAAAGCAGAGTACTCATTATTTTTTTTAAAACAGGTTTCAATCACAGAAAATCTGAACATATTTCACATGAGGTAAGATAATTTCTTTTTTTTTTTTAAGATTTATTTTATTTTGTGTCTTGCCTGCATGTGCAAAACACATTCAGAAAAAGGCTCAATCTCTCCTGGAACTGGAGTTATCAAGATTGTGGGCCACCAGGTGGGCACTGGGAATCGAACCTGGGACCTCTGCAAAGGCAGCCAGTGCTCTTAACCACTGAGCCACCTCTCCAGCCCCCAAAGAATGTCTGATTATCATGATTCTATGAAGGGATGGGATGTCTGTTAAGTGGAAGGACAGTTACAGTGAAAATTAACTATACAATGGATTGATTTATTGACTTTGAATGCTCCTTAGTGAATAGCGATTTAAGTTCACCGTCTTGCTCTTTTTGTAGTTTGTGGACAAGGGCGATAAGGAAGGCCGGGGAATACCAGTTGTGAAACTGGTGGACCAAGATTACTCAGAGCACACTCTTGCTGAAAGTGTGGAATCCACACCGGGAGATATCCCGCTGCCCCCTATCCACACCCTGCAGATAATAGAGGAAGATGAGGCACCACGCAGCGCACAAGCAGCTCCGGAGTGGGACACGCCCTACGAAGAGAGGAAAAGTGTAGTGTTTCCACCGGATCACAGTCTAATCCCCAAACGTCCCAGCGTTTTAAGAATAGCCTCATCTCTGCAGGAGGTAAAGTCGAGTTTACCCATAAACCCAGAGAGCGTGAGGAGGAGGAGGAGTTAAGGAGTCTTTCCAAAAGAATGAGGCGGCAAAGCAAATGTTTTAACTTGAAAGGAAGGGAGGGGTGGGGGCTAGTCGGGGTTCCTGAGATTTGCAATGAAAAATGGCTTCAAAGGCAAGACCCAAGAAGCTTAACTAAACATGTCTCGTCCGCAGCAAAACTTGAGATAGGCAAACCCCAAATCATTATTTTTAAAAAGTCAATTAAATACCAATAAATTCAAAATTATTCAAATGCCTCTAAGTAGAAATGTCTCTAAATATATCTAATGTTCTTACTCTGTGTGTACTGATCAATTAAGGGGGAAAATCCTTTGAGAGGAAAAGCAAACTGTCAATAATACAAATGAATTATTGTGTGTTTCTCTTGAAAATGTCACAATTACAAATATAAACCTCAAAGGACATGTAAAAGCCTAGGAAATTATTTTAGTCGATTTTTTTTTTAAACTGTTCAATTAGAAAATGTAGCTCGGGTGTCCCCTTGTTTCAGACTCTGAATGTAAACGCAAGCCTTTCTCCACAGACCGCTTCCTGGTTGGCAGTCACAGTCCCTTGGAATGGCTGTTGCTGGCAGGGCGGTTTTAAAAGGCAGCATAGGACCAGAACGAGTTTGAGACCTCGGTTAAGGTTCTGCTTCTGAATACTCTGAACGGTTCTGTTCCTCATCCTCTGATGGACCACAGCCATCGTTAAATCCCCATCCAAAATTTCAAGATAAAATTGTTTCAGTAGCGCTAGCTGGGAACTTAATTACTTATGTCAACAGTTTAAAGCAATATACTTGGAATAATGTTCTTTACTCGATGTGAAGATAACCCACGCTCATAAAAGTTTTGAAAAGGCTGGGGTGGGGGGCGGTGGTGGTGGCGCACGCCTGTAATCCCAGCACTCAGGGGGCAGAGGCAGGTGAACCTATGTGAGTTCAAGGCCAGCCTGGGCTACAGAGTGAGTTCCAGGACAGCCAGGGCTGTTACACAGAGAAACCCTGCCCCAAAAAAGCAAGCAAAACAAAACAAACGTTTGGAAAATGGAAAGCCTGAAAGACAAGCTAGATGAAAGTAGTTATAATTTCCTCACCAGGTCAACAGCTTTAGTTTTTTAAAGCCTCTCTGATGAGAGTTGGCCTAGGCAATGATGTAGGAGTATAGCAGGATACCATTAGGAATCATTTCACTGACTTTCTTTGTTTTTGCCAGTTGTGTTTGGTTCTACCTTGGGCCTCTGGGCTGTCCAGGTTTCTAGCTGTCCAGGCAGAGTCAGATAGGGGCTCCCTGTCGTGGTGTAGACCTCAGGTTGGACCAGTCGTGGGTTGGCCACGCCCATAAAGTTCTAGACACCGCCATTACCCCTGGAATCTCTGGTAGAGTGACCCTAGCAAAGTCTCCTAGCAATGGTGGATACAGAGCTGGAACTGGCCATCTTCTGTAACCAGGCAAGGCTCCCAGGAGCGGGACCGAGACACCAACCAAGCCACAAAACCTTCGACCTACAATCTGTCCTGTTAGCAGATTCTTTCAATTGAGAATTTTTGCGCCCATCTTCTTCAAACACACTAGACGACGGTTTTCTTTCTTGTTAGGTCTTTGTCTGGTTTTTTGGTATCAGGGTAATGATGGCTTTTTAAAAAGACTTCGAAATGTTTCTTCCTTTTTGTGTTATGGAATAATTTAGGAAATTTTGATATTTGTTGTTGGAGGTCTAGTAAAATTGTGTTGAATTTATCTGGTCCTGGGTTTTGGCTTTTCCTTTTTTTGTTGGGAGATTTTTCTTTTTTCTTTTTAATTAATTAATTTATTTATTATGTATACAATATTCTGTTTGTATGCCGAAGGCCAGAAGAGGGCGCCAGACCTCTTTACAGATGGTTGTGAGCCACCATGTGGTTGCTGGGAATTGAACTCAGGACATTTGGAAGAGCAGGCAATGCTCTTAACCACTGAGCCATCTCTCCAGCCCGAGATTTTTCAATTAATGCTTCTATCTTATTGGATGCTATGGGTCTGTTATAAATGATTTATTTAATCTTGATTTAGCTTTAGTTGTGTGTGTGTGTGTGTGTGTGTGTGTGTGTGTATCAAGTCATTTCTTTTAGACTCTCCAGTTTGATAGAATACAAAATTTTTAAAGTTTATCCTTATAAATTTTTGGGGTGTCTCTTATAATGTCTCACTTTTCAACTCCAGTTTTATTTATTTGGGCCCTCTCTTTCTTATTTAATTTGGCTAAAGGTTAGTCAATCCTGTTAATACTTTCAGGAAATCAATTCTTTCTCATCAATTCTTTGGGTTGTATTCTTTGTTTCTTTCTCCTTCATTTCAGCCCTGGTTTTGATTATTGCTTCCTGTCTGCTTTTGGGAGGTGATGTTTTGGTTGTTCTTGTTCTATTTTTTTTTTTAATTCTTGTTTTTAAGGCCTTAGGCTTCATTACTAAGTTCTTCAGTTGAGTTCTCTCAAAATTATTGAAGTAGGCACTTAATGTCATATATCTTTTCTTATGATTGCCTTTATTAGGTCCTGTATATTTTGGTATATTGTGTTTTCATTCTCATTTGATGTGGGATTTCCCTATGTATGCTGTGAATACTATTGATTAATAAAGAAACTGCCTTGACCTGTGATAGGGCAAAAGAGTAGAGCTAGGCAGGGAAAACTAAACTGAATGCTGGGAGAGGGAAGGCGGAGTCAGAGAAGCCATGTAGCCCCACCGGAGACAGACGCCAGAACTCTGCCCAGTAAGCCACAGCCTCGTGGCAGTACACAGATGAATAGAAATGGGTTAAATTAAGATGTAAAAGTTAGACAATAAGAAGCCAGAGCTAATGGGCTAAGCAGTGATTTAAATAATATAGTTTCTGTGTGATTATTTGGGAGTCTGGGCAGCCAGGGAAACAAACAAGCGACCTCCTCCTCTTCCTCCTCCACTCATTCGATTCTAAGAATTTAAAATTTTTTCTTCTTGATTTCTTTCTCCATCAAATTATCTTTCCATAGTGAGTTGTCTAGTTTTTATGAGTTTGTATGCTTTCTGCAATTTCTACCGCTGTTGGGTGTCTAGATATCTTCCTTTGAAGTAAAAAGAATGTCGGATGCTTTTTTCATTTACCTGCATTTGGCGAGACTGCTTTATGTCCTAATATGTGGTCAATTTGTGAAAATGTTTCACAGATTGCTGAAATGAATGACTATTGTTTAGACTTTGGGTGGAATACTCTGTAGCTATCTTAGGTCCATCTAGTGTATGGTGTCATTTAACCCTAGACTTTCTCTGTGTATCATCTCTTGGTATCTCACCAAATGGCTGTTGGTGAGAGTAGGGTATTGAAATCACCCAGTGTCACCTTGTCAGTCTGTGGTTTTACATCTGAACGTGTTTCTTTTTTCTTTCTTTCTTTCTTTTTTTTTTTTTTGGTTTTTCGAGACAGGGTTTCTCTGTGGCTTTGGAGCCTGTCCTGGAACTAGCTCTGTAGACCAGGCTGGTCTCGAACTCACAGAGATCCGCCTGCCTCTGCCTCCCGAGTGCTGGGATTAAAGGCCACCATCGCCCGGCTGAACATGTTTCTTTTATGCAATCGGGTGCCCCCGCGTTTGTTGTTGGGATTGGAATGTCCTGTTGACTGCTTCTTTCTTTAATAAAGGCACAGTTTCCTTTCTTAGTTCCTCCACCTAGTTACAGCATGGAGATTGTTTTTTCAGGTACTAGAATGGCTATGCCTGCTTGTTTCTTATGTCCGTTTGCTTGGCATACCTTTAACCATCATTTACCATTGATGGTGCAGTACGGCGGTGTGAAAGGGGAAAAAGGATGGATACTGTTTCCTTTAAAAATGTATGTGTATATATATGTGTGGTGTGTGTGTGTGTATACATACACGCACACATGTATATACAAATATGTCTATATGTGATATATATATATTATATGTATAGTGTATGAGTGTTCTGCCTGCACGTATGTATGTGCCTCACCCTGCAAAGTCCAGAAAAGGATGTCAGACCCCCCACCCCCACCCCGGAAACGGAGTTCAATTGTTGTGAGCCACTCTGTAGGTGCAAGCACTGAACCTTGTCTCTCTGTAAGAACAGCAGTGCTCATATCTGCTGAGCCAACTCTCTAGCCCCCGCTGGTCCTGATTTCTAATCCAACCTTAGTCTATGTCTTTATTGGGTAACTGAGACCACTAATATTCAGAGTTATTACTGAAAAGCTGTGTATTAACTCTCGTCATTTTGTGGATTTCGTGCTGTTGTTCTGGTTGCCTTCTCCCGACATTGCTTGTTTTTTTTTTTTTTCACTGTGACCTCTTGGGTGTGTTTCTCTCTCTCCAGGTTGATGTGTTCTTTCTAGTATTTTCTGTTGAGCTGACTTTGTACCCATAAATTCTTTTATTCTGTTTCTTACTGTGGGACGTTTTCATTTCAACCTTAGTTTTAATAGATAATTTTGCCGAGTATAACAGTCGGCTCTCTCAGTAGCCGTCTTTCAAGACTTGGAATCTTTCCAGACCCTTCTGGCTTTAACAGCTGCTGCAGAATAATCAAGTATTTCTCTCATGCACCTGACCATGTAAGTATATTGACCTTTGTGGCTTGCAGTTTCTAATACCCTTTCTTTATTGTGTATTTTTTTTTATGTTTTATCTATGATGTAACACGGGGATTTTCTTTCTCTGGTCTCATCTATTTAGCTTTCTGTAGTTCTCTTGCATCTAGATGGGCTTCTCTTTCTCTAGGTTTTCTTCTGCGATTTTATTAAGAATATTGTCTGTGCCTTCGCTGTGGTACTCTCCTTCTGCACCCGTAGTTCAGAGGTTAGGTCTGACCTCTTATTTGCCAATTCTTACATCTTAATTTAACCCATCTTTATTAATCTGTGCATCACCATGAGGTCATAGCCTACCAGCAAAGTTTCAGCACATCTACCTCAGGCAGCAGCTCCATGGCTTCTCTCTGACTTCACCCTTCTTTCTCCCAGCATTCAGTTTAGTTTTCCCCGCCTAGCTCTGTTCTACCCTCTTAAGCTAAGCC